CCCCCCCCCCCCCCCCCCCCCCCCGCGACAATCTCGCAGAAAGGAAACGCCTCTTGCCGATAAACCCCTCACGCATGCACACCATCTTAACAGGTAGTTTTGTATCACCCTACCACAAACGCCAGACGATTCCTCGAATGTTGTTCGTTTCGGGCACGGCTATTGCCGTAGTTGTTCGGCTGTCATGCCCGGAAAACTCCACATCGATCGGCTCGTTTCCCCATCGGGGCCTCTATCCCCGACCCGTCCCTTTCCTTACCGCCCCACACCCATTTACCACCTTTGCTGGCAAGTGGCCCACCAACCGCAGAGCGCTCTTTCGGTCGACTTGCCACAGTAGCTTGCTTGCCGTCGAAATTCCAAAAAAACTTCCACGTATCCCCGACGTAACATGTCGAGTGCTATACGATCACATCACATGACGTCATGAAACAAATAAATCTAAGAGTAGTAAGAAGTCTACGAGAAGATGATTGGCTGTGGACTGCAGCGGAGCAGCCACAGCCACCACCACGGCATCGATGGAAGCTTTCCAGGAATTTGCCCCGAATGTTACAGCTGTCCCCCGGCAGCCACCGACTCCCGCCGCTCACTGAGCAGGGAAGTCAAGGTGTTGTACTGCAGCGGGGCGATGCTGAAGTCCGCAATCTTGCCCTTGGAGCCAGAAAAGATCTGGGGAGGTGCACAGCGGAGAGCGAGAGAGTGACGTAAGTCAGAGACAAGAAAGCGGGCGGGTAGGCGAACGGCCACGGTTAATCGAGACCACCAGTTATTGTTTCCTTGGCGGGAGGAGTCAAGGAATTCGGACCCTGCTGTGGGCTGTACGGCACGGACAACTTCCCCGAACAGCTAGCTCAGAGAGCAACCTGGCCGGAAGAGAGAATACGCCTTCCACTACTGTGGCGGTACTGTAACAACCGACACAACTGACTCCGAGATATTCGGACCTTTCGCAAAGATGGGAATGGAATCGCCCCGCGACGTGGACGCCTGCGTTGGTAAATGAGCATGCGACATGGGGGACCTGCAGACTTTGGACCTTGGTATCAAGCTATGAGGGCGGGGAGCTGGGGTATACACCAAATGGGGAATGGAAGCATATGTACGTGAATTCTCGTCGTTGTCCGCGTTTTGTAACTGAAACGACTAAGGTTTTCTAGCCCGAATTGCGGGGCAGCCGTCGGGTTCGAGACAGAGGCGGAAACACACGTGACGGCCTAGGGGTGGGTTCGTAACGATTAGTACACGCTTGCTGGACACCGCGAGGGCTCTATAGAGATAGACGCGTGCGGGCTCTCTCAAGATGATCGAAATTGCAGCTTTGGCCGGTTTGCAGGAAATGAAACAATCACCGGATAATACTTCCTCCAAAATAAGTAACATTGCTGAGTAAACAATAATGAAATAGGGGCCCCGCCGATATTATAAGCCATTGTTTTTGCTGCTCGGTCGATTTCACTGACAGCATTGCAAGCACGGATGCACGGCTCCTGGCTCAAGAAGGCAACTACGTAGAGCTTAGGATTTCAGAAAGGCGGCTCATGGATGCAAAGCTGTCAACAAACGAGGCAGCCCGCTCAGCACAGCATACTGTCGGCTGTCCACGGGTCGTCTAGTGTGTCTAGGCCTCATCCCAACTCAATTGGACGGAGTGTGTCACCGTCCTCTCGGCATGTCTCTCTACTTGTACGTCATACACGCAAACGAAAAGCCGGGGCCACATAAACGGAAGGCCCCGCAGGATTCAATTCTCACATCCGAGAGACAACACATTGATTTGCTGATGAAACTAGGGTAAGGGTTTCGATTTGTGCAGGGGATCGATCGGGTTGTCATTCACAGTGCCAAGAATTCGTATTAGTATCAGCAGTACCTGCACGTGGGGAACCGACTTGATCCCCATCTTGTTGCACAGCTGCCGGTTGCTGTCGAAGCACACGTCAGCGAAGGTGACCTGCTTGCCGTCTATGTCGCCAAACTCAGCCGCGGTCTGCCTGAACCTCCCCTCCACCGCCCTCGAAGCGTCGCACAGGATGGCGTGGAACTTGACCACGACGAGACCATCCGAAGCCAGCAGTTTCGTCAGCTCCGCCTCGTTCTTGACGGTCTTTGGGGCGGGGGGGGCGGGGTTCGGCCGAAATTGTCGGTTATCCCAGACCCACTGCTTGGTTGGGTTTGCAAGTTCGCGGAGGCAAATTGTCAAATAAGAGATCATTTGGACGAGGAGGAAAGAAACCAATCGCGAGCGATTTGATTGGAGGACGAGCACCTGTGGAAGGTATCGGGGGATATGTATATATATATATATATATTTTTTTTTTCTCCCATCATTCGAGCCCAGGTGTTTGCCATCGGGGTTGGGTTTCCGTCGCTTGGCAACGACGTTGTAAAACAAGCC